ATGGATCCCAAGGAGTGTATGGGCCAAGGAGGCTTCCGGACCTGCCTGTATTTGGAGGGCAGTCCGAGGAGTGGCCGATCCTTAACTGTGCGTTTGTGGAGACGAAACAAGCATACAACTGCACAGACTTGGAGAACAACCAGAGGTTTTTGAAGGCCGCTGAAGGATGAAGCTCATGAGACAGTGAAGTCGCTGCTGATTCACCCTGGGAACGTCAGCGCCGTGATGGAGCAGCTGCGCTTTAAGTTTGGCCGACCGGAGCAGCTTCTACGCAGCAGTACGCAAACGTCGTGTGTACGGTTTTGGACGTCGAGGGAAAGGAGCTGAGGCATCGAGTTCTACATGTGAGCGTCGACCAGAACGGACAACAGGGTGATCGGCATGGAGGTTGTCCAATCTGTGGAGGGCAGAGTGGTCTTCAGCTGTCAGTCAGCTGTCCTCAGAAACAGCCAGGAGAGAAGGGCCTCGCAGCCAGCGGAGGCGCCCGTGCAAAGGAACTTAAGCTGCGTTGACGACGAGTTCCGTATACTGCCAGTAACGCTGTATGGAGCTGTTCGCCAGGTGGACACATACGCGCTCTTGGATAAAGGATCCTCCGTCACGATGATCTATGACGAGCTACGGAGGGATCTGGGAGTGCGAGGCGATCATCGACAGCTGAATATTCAACGAGGTGAGCCTGGAGATAAGTGGAGCTGGGAAGCCCACTCGCCACGCTTTGAGTAACGTGTACTCCGTTTCGAGCCTAAGTCTGCCGATGCAGACGTTAGGCCGACGAGATGTCCAGGGCGTGCATAAGGATGTGCGTCTGCCGATGAAGCCCTACATCAACGTGGTGCCTAAGTTGCTCATCGGACTCGACCATGGACATTTGGGATTGCCACTTAGAACGAGGCGGTTTGCCAGAGAGCTTGGATGGGTTGTGTTTGGGCCAGTAAGTGGGCAATCGACTACGCCGTCTCCGAGGTCCTGCCTACTAGCCGTATCAATGGATGATGGAACAGATGGTGGATGACTACTTCGAGATGGAAAGCTTTGGTGTGAAGCTCGCGCCACAGGTCGCAGCCAGCGATGGCGCGCGGGCACAAAGGATCCTCGAAGACACAACGGTGAAAGTGGGGCGTCGCTACCAAACGGGATTACTCTGGAAGGACGACTACGCTGTGCTGCCACGGAGCTACGAGATGGCGCACAGACAGCCGTCTGTCAAGAATAAGTTGAAGCGCAACGGGCAGTTGGCGTTGGATTACGAATCTAAAGAATATGCGAGGAAGCTGCAGCAGGATGAGGTCGCGGTGACGAGCGACCGGCTATGGTATTTGCCACATTTTGCTGTCGAAAACCTAAACAAGGCCGGTAAGGTCCGGCTTGTGTTCGATGCTGCAGCCAAGGTTGGAGGAACCTCGCTAAATTCGGCGGTGGACAAGGGGCCTCAGTATTACAAGCCCTTGCCAGTCATGCTCTTCCACTTCAGGGAAATGGTGGTCTGCAGTGACATCAAGGAAATGTTCCACCAAGTGCTGATCCGACCGTCAAAGCCATCATCGACAACTACTACGTCGATGACTATGTGGACAGTTTCGCTACAGAGAACGAAGGAGATACATGCGGAGGCTGGATTCGAATTATGCCAGTTTTCATCCAGCTCACCCACCGTGGAAGCGGCGTTGGGACCACCTGGACAAGTCAAGAGCGTCGGATGGGGTGAGGCTGAGCAAAAGATCCTTGGAATGCTGCCAGCGCACGGATAGCCACGGATGACTTCAGATCAGAGCTCGCAAATAACAGTCGACCGTTTTTTCATCTTGTGCTCTCGGTGCGAGCACAACCGAAAAAGTTCATACTCTCTCGCTCTCGCTCTGAGCAAGTTCCTTGCTGTCATCATTTGTGTTTTCTGTTGAGCTCTTTGTATTTCGGTCTTCCAATGAGCATGAACAGGCACAGTCTTACGGAATCACAATGAGGCACTTTCACGCCCAGATGAAGCAACAAAACGTGGATGCGATGATTGCTCAGATCCGGACGAGATTCTGGGTCACGAAGATGATACGAGTGCTGAAGGAAGTAATCTCGTCGTGCAAAAAGTGCAAGTTGCAGCGAACGCGGCCGATGCCGCCGATAATGGGACCCCTTCCAGAGAGGATCGACTGGAAGCGGGGGACGGCCATTTAAGTACACCGGATTGGACTACTTTGGGCCACTGCTGGTGACTGTATCCCGTCACAGAGAGAAGCGGGTCGCCTTGTACACGTGCTTGACGACAAAAGCGATTCATCTGGAAATAGCGCATGACCAGTCGACGGATTCCTGCATAATAGCGATCAGGAACTTCGTCTGCCGTAGAGGACCGTACATAGACTGCGGAGTGAAAACGGCCAGAACTTCGTGGGAGCTGACAGGGAGGCCAGGCGACTTGGAGACTTGTTCGAGACTGAGCGGATACAGAGTGAGTTCTCCTCCAGAAGCATTGAATGGGTTTTCAATTGCCCATCGAACCCGTTTGAGGGCGGAGTGTGGGAGCGGATGGTGCTGTGCGTCAAACGAGTTCTGCGCCATTCTCTGATGGAAGTCGCGCCGAGGGATCATGTGTTGGAGAGTTTCCTGATCGAGGCGGAGAATGTGGTCAACTCGCGTCCGCTCACCCACTTGCCGGTGGATGCGGACCAAGAGGCGCCGATGACGTCAATCGGTCTGTTCAAGGGAGCAGCCAACCTGCGGAATACGCCTGGATTGGATGCGGAGTTGCCCAAGGATTGATCGCATGCTGCAAGACCATTTCTGGAGGAGGTGGGTCCTGGAGTACCTGCCTATGCTTGTGTGCCGCGAGAAGGGGTGCCGGAGAACGGAGCCCATCCGCCAGGGAGATATGGTCTTCGTCCGCGATCCTGCCTTGCCCAGACGAGAGTGGCGCAAGGGCATCGTGGGCACACTGCGGTAAGATTAAGTTAGTTTGAAATGTATGAGGCTGATTTGAATTGTTCACAGAATAAAACGCACCACGTGCACGCCGCCCTTGAAGTTAACCCTCTCTTCGGACCTACGCGTGTGGGGAAGTCGTTAAAAAGGGAACTCCATATGATGCAAGACACCGGGCAAGGCTTCCGACCCAGTGGTGTTCAGAAACACAGGCAGACTCACTCCTTCTAAGCTACAAAAACGCCGAAAATAGAATTTTTATTTTAATTTTTTCTGAATTTGTTTATCTTTTTATTCTACGAGTATTTAAATAAATAACCCGCCGTAATTTTCGTATTCATGACCTTATATATATGTATGTAGTGTTTTTTAAGACTATTGAGTATAAATCAGGTCCGTCTTTCCGTCTGTCTGTTTATATATAAACTATTCTCTCAGTTTTAAAGCTACCTTGATGAAACTTTCCCAAAAGGTATTAGTTATTGCATGCAGTATATAAGTCGGAACGGGCCGGATCGGGTGACTATATCGGACAGCTCCCATAGGAAAGATTGAAAAGAAACATTTTATCACCCCTGTCGGGTCATCCAGCCGCAGCAGATATTTAGGATCTCCTAATGCTAGCTCTTAGCTTATCTGCATAATTACCATCGCTCTCGCTCTCTAATTATCTTTCTATTTGCTCTCTCTCGTTGCTTGTCGGCTTCTACTTTGGGTCAGCAATCGGCTGATCCGCGTCTCAATTTTTATTGTATTACTTCTTTTCGATCCCGCTGCTACAGAATTCGAAAACAAAATTTCTTCGTGCATAATTATTTCAACAGCTAATAAAAAAGCTTATTAGCTCAACATTTGGTGACCCCGACGTGATTTGTGCATAAAAGGGACTCAGTGCAAGTCACAAAAAAAAAAAAAAAAAAAAAAATTTATTTATTTTACCAGGCTGCATATTTTGCTTTATCTGTGTTGCAGCTGCATTTACCTGCCATAAACAACACAAATATTTATAAATTAATTTGTGAAAGTAATAACACTCTTGATTACACGGACTTGTACATAAGGCGGTATATAGACCAGCAGCGGACCAATTTTTCGCATTCTCCTTTGCGCTCATCTTCCCGCTGAAGCCGAATTTTGCCCGCTGAGTCTGCTGCATATCTCACTTTATGTTTGTTACAAAACAATAAAATTAATTGATTTATGCAAATAATACCACTCCTGGTTACACAAGCTTTACATAAGGAGGTATATAGACCAGAAGCGGACCGATTTTTCGCTGTTCCCCGTTACGCTTATCTTCCCGCTGAAGCCGAATTTTGCCCGCCGAATTTGCTGCATTTATTTTGTTGTTGTTGCTGCTTAACATGGCTTCAGAAAATTCGGTTAGCGTCACCGACAATCGCAATTCAAACAGGGTGACATTTTTGAAGCGCAAGGCAACTTCAATGTTTAATAGAGTGGAGCGGTTAATGGAATCCCTTTCAAGTTCGGCTTTGAATTCTTTTGACGATTCTGGCCTTCATGTGAGGTTGGAACTTATCGAGGAGCTTCAAAGGGCGTTTAAAAAGGTTCTCAACGAGCTGGAAGAATTGGATTTTGAGGAAATTGGAAATGACTTGGAGGAGAAATTTGATGATGTCGTCGTAATTCTGAAGTCGACGGTGCGATCGGAGATCACAAAGCGCTCCTCGCAACTGCTTCAGCACTCAACCTTTGCTGATGGCAATACGCCCGGTCATTTCGGCCATCAGCAGCGGGAAGCTCTGCGCCGAGCGATTCCGCTTCCCGTTCTTGAACTTCCGAAATTCGCTGGAGGTTATGCGAATTGGTCAGATTTCTATTCTATGTTTACTACCATCATAGATAGTCTTCCTGACCTGACCAACATTGAAAAGCTGCAACATCTACGCTCATGTCTAAGGGATTCTGCGTTGGAAACCATCCGCTCGCTGGAAATTTCGGATGGCAATTATTCTGTTGGTTTAGACTTATTGCAAAACAGATTTGATAATCGTCGTTTGGTTTTTCAGGCACATATTACTGAGATCCTGGGGCTTAAGGCAGTGCAGAGTGGTTCCGTCTCGATGCTTCGTGAGCTGTCCGACAAATTGGGCACGACAGAACAAATCGCGGGATGCATCATCGTCCAAGTACTGCTTCAAAAGCTTGATCCTGCGAGCCAGGCAAAATGGGAGGAGCGGTTAGAGGATCCAGCAGTCGTCAATATATTTCCGACGTGGGAATCCATGGCATCATTTTTGGAGCAGCGATGCAGAACATTGGAGACAATGGATTTCGCCATGGCAAGCTATGCGTCTGGCAATCAGGTGGGAAATAACCGAACGTCTAATTCTCGCAGATCTGCTTTTGTTGCCACAAATAGTTTTGGTTTTGTTCGTTCTGTAATGCTTCTGGTCACTCCATCCATTATTGTCAAGATTTTAAAGCCCTGCCCCCTGCTAATCGGCTTCAAGAAGTAAAGAGGCTCTCTCTTTGCATAAACTGCCTTAAGATAGGGCATCAATTGAGGCAGTGCAATTCCAGCAATTGCCGGGCATGCGGAGCTAAACACCACACCCTCCTTCACTTGGGAAATTTATCCTCAGCTTCTCCTCAGGCAGGACCACAGCTTCCAGAAGCTATTGCCGCTGTCGCATCCAATACTGTCGTTGAACCCTCTGCCGTGCCTTCCTCATCCACTGCTCTTATTGCTCAGGATTTCAGTACTGACATTGTGCTCCTAGCCACTGCCCCCGTTCTCATTAAAAACCGGTCTGGAGTTTTCGTTCCATGTCGAGCCCTTCTTGACTCCGGCTCTCAGCTGCATCTAATAACATCTCGCTTCGCAGATCAGCTTCAAATAAAGAAGATAAAGACTTCGACTTCTGTTACTGGAATAGGTGATTCCAGCTTTGTTACAAATGGTCACTCAGTTAATATTACGATGCAGTCCCGAACGTATGAATACACGGTGAACATAACCGCAGTTATTGCTCCCAATATAACTGAGCGACAGACTAGTTTCAATGTGGACATCGGCAGGTGGAAAATACCACAAAACATACAATTAGCTGACCCTACGTTTTTTGTCCTTCAGCGTGTGTATCTTTTGATTGGAGCCAGTTTGTTTTACGAGCTGTTGTGCGTTGGGCAAATTAAGCTCCCACCTGGATTACCGCTTATACAAAAAACTCGCCTGGGATGGGTGGTTTCCGGAGGATATGGCGTCTCCAATGGCTCAGCGTTAATCTCGACCATTCCCTTACCTATTGTTAGTAGGGATAATAGCTTAGATCGACTTGATGATCTTCTTCGTCGATTTTGGGAGGTGGTAAGCTGCGTGGAGCCAATTGCGCATGCTACTAAGGAAGAACTGGACTGTGAGACGCACTTTAAAAAGCATTTCATTCGTTCCCCTGCTGGAGACTATTCTGTTCGTTTGCCTGCCAAGTTCAACCTGGAATTATTGGGTGAGTCCTACCAGCAAGCTTATCGTAGATTCCTGTCCCTAGAAAGGAAACTAGATCGTCGGCCAGCCTTGAAGGCCCAATATGCGGCTTTTATAAAGGAATACCTTGACTTGGGGCACATGTCTACAGTTGCTGGCGCAGACCTCGCTTCTTGTCGCTTCTTTTTGCCTCATCATTGCGTCATAAAGGAGGAGAGTTCCACTACAAAGCTTCGCGTAGTTTTTGACGGATCTGCCGCGACTTCATCAGGCTACTCTCCTAATGATTTGCTCATGGCAGGCCCCGTAATTCAGCACACCCTGTTCCAGATTCTGATTCGGTTTCGCTCATACCCGGTAGCCATCACTGGAGACATTTGTAAGATGCACCGTTGTGTCAAGGTACATCCAGAGGACAGCTATTTGCAATGCATTTTATGGAGGACTTCCCCACAGGACAAGCTGCAAGTGTACAAACTGGACACCGTCACTTATGGCACGAAGCCTGCATCATTTCTGGCTGTGCGGGCTATGCATCAGCTGTCCCGAGACGAGCATTCTTCGTTTCCGCTTTGGGCTGAGGTTATTCAGCGCGACTTTTACGTAGATGATTTGATATCTGGAGCCCAGACCGTGGACGAGGCTATCATCATTGTAGATCAGACCTCTAAAATTTTGTCCCGAGGAGGCTTTAAACTTAGAAAGTGGTGCTCAAACGTGCCAGCGGCTTTGTGTGGAGTGTCTGACGAAGATAAGGAGTCATATTTAAAGTTTGATGACGGCACTGACTTTACCAAAACTATGGGTTTAGCCTGGGATCCTGCTTCTGATCAGCTCTTGTTCTCTTTTTCTGTCTTGCAGTTGACCTCAAGTCCCTGTAGGTGATCTGTCCTGTCTGCCATTGCACGATTTTATGATCCTCTTGGATTGGTTGGTCCGGTGATAGCAAAAGCAAAAATTTTCCTTCAGCAATTGTGCAAGGAAAGGTTATCCTGGGATGAAAGCCTTCCAGAAGCTCAGAATACGGAATGGAGTTCGATATGCAGGAGTTTTGTGCAAATCAAGCGATTGCGTTTCCCTCGGCTAGTTCTGTCTCCAAACTCAGAGATTCAGGTCCATGGATTTTGTGATGCCAGCATGGAAGCATACGGCGCCTGTGTCTACATCGTGTGCAGTGGACAGTCCCAGTTGCTTTGTTTAAAGTCAAGGTTTGCTCCCTTGAAGACACTCACCGTGCCCAAGCTGGAGCTTTGTGAAGCCGATTTCTTGTCTAAGCTCATCTCAGAAGTAGCTGGCACCAACGTATTTAAGGGACAGTATTATTGTTGGAGTGACTCTGCGGTTGCGCTGTCCTGGATCCGAGACGAGCCCTCCAGATTCAACACTTTTGTGGCAAACCGAGTTGCTGCCATCCAAGAGCGAACCGATTCGATGGAGTGGCGTTACGTTCCAACTTCTTTGAATCCGGCTGACATTCTCTCCCGAGGTTTCCTTCCCACTGAGCTGAGCGAGTCCCCTGTCTGGTTTAATGGGCCGGCATTTCTTTGCAAACCCAAGTTTGACTGGCCTTCCCCAATCCTTGCTGAGAAGTTAACGCTTGAGCTTCGTCGAAAGGTCCTGTTAATAAAATCACCATACGTAGATATCGTAGCCTGTTCCAAATTTGCAAATTCCTTCGCGGCGCTTCAAAGGATTTTCGGATACGTCTGCAAATTTATTAATCGCTTTCGGCAGCCGGATCTTAAGGTGTCGGATATCCAAAGCGGTACTCAGTTATTGCTTCGGCTGGTTCAGCGTTCTCATTTATGGGAAGACATAAAATCCTTGCAGTCTAAGGGAGTTGTAGCCCCATCTAGTTCGCTTGCGTCTCTATCTCCTTTTATCGATCATTTTGGGCTTCTTAGAGTGGATGGCCGACTAAAAAACTCGTCGCTGGATTTCAATGGCCGTCATCCAATCATATTGCCACGGAGCCATCCTGTCACAGCCGCCGTCATTACTCACATTCATGAGCGTAATCTGCACACTGGACCTCGGGCCCTACTCGGCATAATTCGATCCCAGTATTGGCCTATTGGGGGGAGGAAGATAGTGAGCAAGGTCTTGAACAAATGCGTCAGATGCTTTCGAACGAAGCCTCGATTAGTCGAGCATGTAATGGCGGATCTCCCAAAGGAGCGATTGGATGGATCGCATGCATTTGAAGTCACTGGCATTGATTTTTGTGGGCCATTCTTTTACAAGCCGGAAGTGCGAAATAAGGACCCAGTGAAATGCTACGTTTGCGTCTTTATCTGCTTCGCAACAAAGGCCATTCACTTGGAGTTGATCAGGGATCTCCCAACAGTATCATTTCTGCATGGCCTCAAGAGATTTATATGCACCAGGAGAAGACCGCGGCAGATTTGGTCGGACAATGCAACCAACTTTGTCGGTGCACGCAATGAGCAGCTTGAGTTAAGACGCTTGTTCCTCAGCGACGAGCATCAGAAAGCGACGTTGGATTTTTGCCTAGCGGAGCTTATTGATTGGCGCTTTATTCCTCCCAGATCGCCGCATTTTGGTGGTCTCTGGGAAGCAGCGGTGAAGACGGCGAAGTACCATTTCTACCGCGCTATTAGACCTTCAGTGCTGGCCTTCGACGAGCTGCGGACTCTTCTGTGCCATATTTCGGCAGTAGTTAACTCTCGGCCTTTAGTCTCAATTTCAGAAAATCCCGCTGATCTGGATGTGCTAACGCCAGCCCACTTTCTGAATGGTGGTCCACCATCCTCATTCATCGAGCCGGATGTGACCGCCCTTAACTTCAATCGGTTGGATGGATGGCAACGTGTGGCCTATTTGCAGCAAGTCTTCTGGACCCGATGGAAGGAAGAATATCTGACGCTACTGCAGCAGCCTGGCCTGGTTGTAGGTGACGTGGTGCTGGTCAAGGACGAGAACTTGCCTCCGATGAAGTGGCCCCTAGCGAGAGTCGTTGAGCTTCTGTGTGGTGGAGATGGAGTTGCTCGTGTTGCAGTCCTCAAGACAGCATCAGGAGTGACAAAACGAGCAGTTAATAAGCTGTGTCTGCTGCCCCTTAAGGATGTTGTTGAAAGCCAGACTTCCAATGGGGGAGTATGTCGGGTCATCCAGCCGCAGCAGATATTTAGGATCTCTTAATGCTAGCTCTTAGCTTATCTGCATAATTACCATCGCTCTCGCTCTCTAATTATCTTTCTATTTGCTCTCTCTCGTTGCTTGTCGGCTTCTACTTTGGGTCAGCAATCGGCTGATCCGCGTCTCAATTTTTATTGTATTACGTCTTTTCGATCCCGCGGACCATTTGTAACTCTTTTTTGTCGAAAATAAAATCGCTGCTACGGAATTCGAAAACAAAATTTCTTCGTGCATAATTATTTCAACAGCTAATAAAAAAGCTTATTAGCTCAACAACACCATTATTTTTGTTCATATCGACTTGATTTCTTCCAGATGGTATTTTTTACTACTATCGAATGATGTTGTTTAGCCTCCATGTATTTGGTTTGACATATTTGATAACTGCAAGGGTATATAAGCTTCGACTTTCTCGTTATTGTATACCCTTGGAGAGGGTATTATAGTTTCTGTCAGAAGTTTTCGCTTCAGCTCGATAAATGTCTTCTAGTTTTAAAGCTTATAACTAAAACTAACAACGGATCGAACAACTATATCGCATAGCTCGCAAAAGATAAGATTTCTCATATAAGCTTAGATTTCTCCTAATTAAGCTGTCTGATATAGTCGCCCGATCTCACTTTTTTCGACTTATACACTGCATGCAACAACTACACAACTTTTGGTAAAGTTTCAAAAGCGGTATTTTTTTAATACTTTTGCATTTTTGAAAATCGTGTTACTCTATGATTTAGCTGTTATAGAGAAGACCGTAAATGCATCATGCATCATGCGTGCTTAAGCAACACGAGCAATAATAGATTGATTGAAAATGAATGATCAAAATTCGAGAGTCATTAGAAAACTTTAGATTCCAAAAAGTAAGCTTGTCGGATAAAAAAACAACGATGTTAACATTTTTTTCCGTCCATTTCCGTATATATAATATTAGGTTGTTTGGTAATGACATACCGGTTCCTTTATTGATTTTTGACGACGATTTTAACATAGTTAGCATTGTCCGATTTAAGTGCTATAGAGTATGTACCATTGTCTTCGATGATTTTCTGCCTCTCCTAAAAAAGTTCGCTTCTGTTCAAGTGCAATCTTCAATCGCTCCCGTTTTTCACAGTAGAGGTCAGAAATGATGGTTTGGCCATAGGGCAACATTTCATAATGGATAATTCCTCTGATATCCCACCATACACTCAGCAACACCTTCTGAGCCGTCAGTTCTGGCTTTGCCACCGTTTGAGACGACTCACCGTGCTTCGACCAGGATCTTTTACGCTTTATGTTGTCATATGTGATCCATTTTCAATCAACAGTGACTAACCGATCCAGAAATGAGTCGAGTTTATTACGGTGCAACAAAGATTCGCAGATTGATACACGGTCGAAATAGTTTTTTGGGATAACTCATGAGGCACCCATACATCGAGCTTTTTTGTTAAATTTTTCGATTTTAAATACCTATGGACGGTTTTCGTGCTTTGTTGCAGCTCCTCTCTGGTTCTAATAGTCACATGACGATCTCGATCCACTATTTTCATGATTTTATCCGTATCAACGGTCACTGGTCGTCCGGAAAGCTTGGGTGTTTCGGTATCAAAATTGCCACTTCGGAATCGCCTAAACCACTGTTCGGCGGTTTGAATCGAATGTTTGTTATCTCCTAAGACAGCAATAATCTGTCTTCGAGATTCCGCAGCAGTATTTCAATGTGCGAAATAAAATTTCAAAATTGCCCGAATTTCTGCGTTTCTGAACTCCATTTCAATCGATTGTAATTTTTTAACGTGGAAGCTCATGTAAACAAACTATGTCATTTTAAAGAAAGGTATTGGCACATTTCAAACGATATACAGCATTACGATTATATTTGACTTCACAAGCGATGCGCGAAATTTGAATGTAAAAACCGGTATGTCATTACCAAACAACCCAATATATCATATATGGATTTTCCTATTCTGGTTTTGATAAAATTTAATTCGAAATTCGAAAGATTTTAAAATAGTACACTATCTGGAAGAATCCAAGTCAATATGATCAAAACCAATGGAGTAATAATTTTTTTTCAATCTTTCGTATGGAAGCTATACGATATAGTCGCCTAATACGGCCCGTTCCGACTTATATACGGCGTGCAATATAAAAAATAAAAATAAAAAAAATATATATATACATAAAAAAAAAAAAAATATATATATATATATATACAGTAGAATCCGGTTGTAACGACTTTCAAGGGACCGACCATTTTTCGTCGTTATAACCGGAAGACGCACTAAGCAAAAGGAGGAATAAAAAATTTTTTTTTGATTATTTTATGGTTGCTGTGTTTGTAATAGGTTTTTAAAATAAATCAAAGTAATTTTTTAATTAAAACGAAAAATTAAATAAATTAAATTCAAAAACATAGGTTTTTCTAAATACTGAAAACTGAATGAGCTTATTTTTGCACATATTGCATTTGGCAAATTAAAACATTCAGTTTTACTCGGAAAAAAGCAGAAAAAACTAGAAATATAACGGGACATCTCATGGAATAGACTATGAGGTCCGCACACACAGTGTGACGTCGGCATTGCACTTCGACTGTCTCTCGCAGCAGCGTTGTTAAGGCGACAGCTAAAACTAACAGAGAGTTGTGCCAGTGCAAGATCCTTCGTGTCGCTGCTACGCAAATAAGCAAGGGTGCCGATCACTGACAAATACATACATTTCTAACGGCGTGTTTTGATACTTAAATTTGGAACTATGGCACTGTATTTTTTCGGTACGACGCAATATCCGGTTAAATTTTCCAATTTTCTTGAGAAATTTCATTCTTATAAGCGGTTTGTCGCTAAAAGCGGAAACGTTTTAAGCGGAGGCCCTTTCATATAACTTTGTATGGGGACCAACCAAACCATCGAGTTTTCGACGCACAACCCGGACGGACACTATAAGCGGAGTCGTTATAACAGGATTCTACTGTATATATAAAATAAAAAAAATATATATAGGGGAATGTCGTCAAGGTTGGAAAGTTGTCAGGGTCGGACACTTGCAATTTTTCTAATAATCCAACTATCGCCATCTGTGTGTGAATGTGGTATTAATTGTTTTCACTGTGGGAAACTTTTCATCCCAAGCCGCATTCCAGAACTGTTAATTTTTCTGTTTTGTTGACATAGTGTCGTGATAGTGACGAAAAAAGTATTGGAGAACGCGCAATAAAAGTGGCATAATTCAGCGGAAAATATGCCATCCGCAGGATAAGTTTAAAAACACGTTAAGTGCTTCCCCCTTAACGAAATCCTAAAAAAAAATTGTTCTAAATAAAGCGATTTGGTGGTTATGTTGTGCGGTAGGGTTATGACTCATGTTGTCAGGGTTGGACACCCTTGGTTTTTTCCCTTTTGTCAGAATATTTTAATTTTTCCAATGTTTTTACAGTTATTCACTACAAAACATGTAAATACATTCAATGAAATAATTTTTTTTCTATATTGTGAACAAATATACCTACATATTAATTAAAGAAATAGATTAAAGTTCTAAAAATAAAGTAGGAGTTGGATGAATAATTAAATTTGGTAATTAATTACTTGATTCAACAAAAAGTGAATTAATTAGTAAGTAAGTAAAAAAAATAAATCCTTTGAGTAATAATTTATTTTCTCCCCTTGAAGAGGTTCACGCTACAAGCGAACGACGGAAAGAGGTAAAGTCGACTTGCATAATGCTGTCCTGTTTGTTCTAATTGCGAATCTGATTAATTTTTTTTCATACTTGGTTGTAAAATTTGTTGTTCATAATGAAAAAGAGTCGAAAGACATAAAATACACCTGATCCATGGATAATGTCCTCTTTTATTGCTACTTTTCTAAAGTAGCAATTCAAGTGTCCAACCATGACTACAGTGGCCAAGCCTGACTACAGTGGCCAAGCCTGACTACAGTGGCCAAGCCTGACTACATTTTTTTTTTTTTTTTTAAATACTCGCCATTTCTATGTTTTTCATTTCACAACATAATGTTCATTGTCAGACATACCTTTTGTCTTTACCTTTCAAACTAATTACGCAAATGATCTTAATTCTTATTAAAACGATAATTATGGGCAAGGGTCGAAAGAGTGTCCAACCCTGACGACATTCCCCTATTAATTAAAATGTATTAAGCAAATATACCGTTAGGCTTTTATCACAATGCTTTAACATTTTTTTCTCCCAGCTCTATACTCTGGGCGACTACGTATGGAACTTGTTACGCGAGAATACCTCTGAAAAAACCAAAAAAAATCAGGAAAAAAAATTCACTTTTAAAAAAAATAATAGTTTATTGGAAGTAAAAAAAAAAATTATATTTTGTGTTAATTATTTTCAGAACAAAAATTTATAAAATTTACCATGAAAAAAAGAAATCGTATCACTTAAAAGGTGGCATAGATATTTTTTTTTGTGCGTGTATGCACCTTAACCGAAAACAATCAAAAAAGTAACTTAAACAAAGATTTTGTTAAATTTTGTCGCACAGTGTAATCCATTGCTCGATATGGGCACGAAGACGGTCATAAGATGCGGTTCGTGTCCCCTATCAATCTTTTGTAGTGGTTTTTATGTGAAGAGTTTTTAATGGGGATGGACACTCTTGTTGCAGTTGGGAACACATCAAAAGCTGGTAGGCCACGACCAGTCTGCCGTAGAGCGGTCTATCCACTTTGTGTTTAGAAAATTGCAACTAACGATGTTTATATACACATGCCTAATCTTAATGCTGATGTTGTTAAGGCATTAAACATACATACATAATCCTAAAAGAGAAAAATAGTTGTGTAGCTTCTAACAAACTTATTTAGCTTTGATTTGACTTTTTATATTCTTTACAATTTGGATATTTGTCCTTTCAAAATGTTATTTTATGCAATGATCCAAAAGCGGAATGACAAGCCAGGGTACATGGTCAAAAGCTGATTTAAACAAGTTTAAACAACAAAAATGAAAAATTTATTTAAGGAAAAGCAGTGATAATTTAATATTTTCCATTTTATTAGGTGAGCATACATTGTTTGTAATGTTTAAAGATAAAAAGTTTTTCCGAAAGCGCATCTGTCACATCTCGTTGAATGCTTTGTCCAATTAAATAAGCCAATTTATGAGCATACTGAAAAGTTTAAAATAATATTATTAACAATTTTTAAATTATTAGGTATTAAGTAATTAGGAAAGTTTCGCCGAAAATGTTTTCCCATTCCAACGAATAGAATACCCTTTGCTCTGCAAAGGGTATTATAATTTCAGTATGAAGTTTGCAACACAGTGAAGGAGACACCTCAAACCCCATAAAGTATATATAGGTACTCTTGATCAGCATCACGATTAGAATCGAAATACTTCTGTCCGTCTGTCTGTTTCTATATAAACTAGTCTCTCAATTTTAAAGCTATCTTGCTGTGTAGTTATTACACGCAATCGAAACGGGCCGGATCGGGCGTAAGTCAATCTAGACATCATCTAGACGTCTGTCGGCTTTTTATTACCCTAGCAAGATTACACACTACATACACACTATTTCACATACGTCCTCTTAAAAAAGAAATAACTTGCCTAGTCTCTAACTAACTGCAAAGAATTATTGCCTACTCGCTGGAGACACTATGCATGATAAATGATGGCTCATTATGACTATAGAAAACCTTTTAGAAAAAAATTAGTTAATGAGCTAAAGCAGGAACTATAAGTTTTGCTCCGAGTCGATTAAGACATGTATTTCTGCCTGTCTATTTATATTGAAACTCGTCTTTAAGTTGTAAAGTAATTTCGCTAAAAATGTAAAAAAAGTTTTGTAGTACATACAAGCGCGAGCTCTGTGACGAAGAGCCATAATAAGCAAGGCTCGGCAGCAAGAACATTACGAACGTCGGCTCTCGTCAATCACAAATAATTCTTACTTCTCCATTAGAGCGGAAGAGTTATCATAACCAATAAAAACTGCAACACTGCAAGTGAATATGCAGAGAGTACGCTCTACCGCTTAATTATGTCCAAGCGGCACAGAAAAAAAACCTCTGTGGAGTGCCCAATGCCCTACCCCCGACCCCTACGACATAACCAACGATCTGCTGATAACAACAACAACACGCACCATGTTCTCGTGTAAAACGTTGACTGCGACACTAACACTCTTTCTGGAAAACTAGCCCCTACCCAACCAAAAACTCAGCCCACAAGCAGCTAAAAACAAGAAAGGAAGCTAGCTTCGGCAAGCCGAAACTTATATCCCCTTGCAGTAATCAAGTATGTCGAACCAAATACATAGAGGCTAAACAACATCAAAGCTATGCCGATTTTTCTATGAAGTTTCTGTATTTTCGACGATTGTTTATATGAAAGCTATATGATACAGTCGTCCGATTTTTATTAAATTAAATTCAAAATTCAAGAGTCATTTAAAACTCTATATTTTGTAAGGATGTCTCTGGCTATGCCGGGGTGAAGCCTCAGCGGTGCCAGGGGTGTCCTTCACAGAAAATTTATAAGAAGTCTATAAAAGGACACTGGAGGTTCGTGGGCGGTGGGTGACGCATGGTAATTGAGGGGGGAAGGGCACTGGTGGCGACAGTAAGGATGGTCATTGCCTAGTCGGAGTAGCCGACCCCAATCGCAGCCGACCCAGTGCGTGGTAAAAATTCCAGGCACACTGGGTGGCAGACGACGGGGCTAGCTCCCACCGAGGTAGCTGCTAGCGTGGTAAAAATTCCAGGCGCCATAGCTACCAGGGCAGGGCGGAAAGGGGGGGGGATCTGTGCCGATGTCGCTGCCGGCGAGCCTGATCTCTGGATTTGGCGGTCGAGAGGACCCAGTCGCCTCCACCGTAGCCAGTCCCGTGCGTGGTAAAAATTCCAGGCACACGGGATGGCTGACGAGGGAGGGCGGAATCGGAGACGGAGAGAGAGAGGGCGGGAGCCCGATCGGAGGAAGGCTGATCGCTGGGAATCGGAGTGGCCCCTGCCGCCGCCGACCGAGCGCGTGGTAAAAATTCCAGGCACGCTGGGGGACGGGCGACAGGGACCCAGATAGCACCCGCCGAGGTAGGTGATGGCGTGGTAAAAATTCCAGGCGCCATACCTACCAGGACAGGGCGGAAAGGGGTGAACTATGCCATGCTTGGGTACCTGCAGGGTCACTTGCCACGGAGAGGGGGGAACTATTGACGGTGCCGATGCTGGTGTTTCGCTGGATGAACGTGAGTATATGAGCATGTGTGTGTGTATGTGTAGGCGTGTAAGTGTGTGAGTGGATGAGAGTGAGTGTAGGTGTGCGTGTGTGTGCGAGTGTGCGAGAAGGTGTAGCTTACCCCATATAATAAACGGGAATGTAGGGTGGGTTTGGTGTATTTATGTGCGTATTTATTTGTGTATTTATTTGTGTATTTGTTTGTGTATTTATGTCTTAACAATTGAGTTTCACGTTTCAATGTCAGAATTATTGTTCCTAAGTGTCGATCGGGCACTACGTTGCGGCCGGCGCCGTTGCTCTGGGAATTTTCCACTCGTAATTAAGTTTCACTCGCGTCTTTTAACTTTGGGTTGGTTAACTGATCGCCTCGGAAGTTCGGAGTCAACTCCCCGAATCGTTTTCGCTGACCTCCTTGCCAGCCTCGGGCGAGCTTCGCTGCTCTGCTTGCGCCGACCCTTCGGCAGGTGTCGCGTGCCGATCTTTGACTTAGCGTCCCCAGATCGATTCGCCAGGGTGGTCGTTTGCAATGTAGGTCATATTTTCGTCAGGGTGGCAGGGCTATTGTTATTTCGGGCTATTGAAGGTGGCAATCTGTTTTTAAGGTGGGGTGGGTTATGGGTCTGTGACTTCGTCACAGGTGGCAGGGCTATTGTTGTTGAAGGTGGCAACCTGTTTTTAAGGTGGGGTAGGTTGTGGCTTTGTGACTTCGTCACACCCCCCCCCTTTCTTCCCGTGAGAAGAAGGGGCTCAGCCACTGCACAGTGACCTGGCCGCGTCGGGTGACGTGCACCTGGAAGCTCCAACCCTCCTGCGTCACCACAAAATTTCGCGTGCAACGCCTCGGTGGAGCGGCGGCCTGCTCGATCCGCTCAACTACGCCGATGGGGAGAAGGCGTTGGGGATTCTCAAGCCTCCAGTCAGGCGGGGCGGCTTGCCATCCTGCAGCAGTGTCTACCGCCTCGTCCAGCGGTGCCTCTGCGACCTCCACTGATGTTGGTGGAGTCAGGGCGCCTGTGGCCTGATCTGCGGCGGTGCCGGGGTTGGTCTGGCTGCTGGCTGGCATGGCTACCACGTCGAGTGTTTCGGTTGGCCTGGCCAACGCATTGGGCGCTGCTTCGTCGGATGGCCTGTTTTCTTCTACAGGGGGCGTTGGTGGGAAGCCTCGCTGGAGGTTCCGTGCCTCGGGTTCCGTGATCGGAGGGAGCGACCTCATGTCCTCTCCCTCGACGATCGGACGCGACGCCAGCGGTCTGTTGGGTGCCTCATCCGTGGTGCGACGGACCTCCTCCTCGGTGGCTTCCCATCCTTCGATGGCCAGACAAGCCAAGGCGCGGGCTTATGCCAGGCGATTCTGCTGTGACGGCAACGTCCACCTTGGGGGCCTCCCAGCCGCACAGGACGGGGTCGAAATTGTTCCGGCCTGAGGCTAGCAACTCCCAGTTCGGCTCGGCGGAACTCTACCGATTTCGGCGTCGCACAGCAGTAGCGCCAGCTCCTCCTCGCCACCGTCGAACAACCCCGGGATGGGGAGATCGTCCTCTCCAGGGCTGGCAGCTCTGTCGCCTGGGACCTCGTCCACTGGTCCTTCTCGTACCGCGGCTTCAGGGAAGTGGTGGACGTTCTGGAGGGGGTCCTGGTAAAGGTCGAACTCGCCGTATCGTTCTGGCCCGTCCACCTCGGCGCCAGAGTCGCGGCTGATAGGGGACCGGTGATGGCCCGGCCATACCTCGGTGCTATTGGTGGTATAGCCATCGTCTGTGGACGTATGCCCGCCGTCAAAGCGTGGGCCCTCCGCGTGCATAGCGATCGGCTCGTTGTTCCCCTCGCTCGCCTCGCTGCTGGACTCGCCGTTTGCCTCGTCGTCTGATCCGCTTCCGGTCTCGCCGTTCGCCTCATCGTTTGCTCCGCTGCTGGTCTCGTCGCGTGTCTCGTCGCTCGCCTCGCTGGTGGATTCGCCGTTTGCCTCGTTGTTTGTTCCGCTGCTGGCTTCGCCGCTTGTCTCGTAGTTCGACATGGGTGACTCCAGGTCAATGGACATTGGTTACCACCCGTCGATGGAGTCGTCGCCTTCGGTGCCCGGTAGGCTGGCTATCTCTACGTTGATGGCCATCAGCATCGCCAACTCCGAGCGGGGGCTCCCGGACATTGGGCGTAGGTCGACCGGGTTTGGCGGCTCGTCCTCGTCGGACACGTCGTCCACCTCGGGCCGGTAGGTGCCCGGATACGCCACTGGGCGTGGCAGGCTTGCTGCCGATGGCGTTGGATCGGCTTGCGTCGATGGGGTTGCCTCGGCCTGGTCTGGTGGGGTCCAGGTGTTTCCACCAACCTGGCGAGGAGCAGTCCCCTCGATCCGGTTTGCTGCGGCCAACTCGTTCTGCGCTGGCGGGGTCCCCTCAGCCTGGCTCGGTGGGGTCAACGTGGGGCGACCAGCCTGGCTTGCTGCCACCCACTCGGCTGTGCGGGCTTCGCGGCTTCGCGGGGGTAGGGGGTGGTTCCACGGCTTGGTCATTGTTGAGGCTCTTGGTGTTCTTCGGCTGGGTCAGCTGCTGCTTTGTGGTACTCCTTCAGGTCACTGATGTTTGCCGTCCGGCGCTTGCGTTCTCCTGTTTTCTGTAGCCTGACTATGTTCGGGGAGATGAATTTTATGACCTTGAATGGCCCATCGAACTTTGGGGCTAGCTTTGCGGCGAATCCATCCGCTGCCTTCGAAAGATGGTGTTGTTTTACTAAGACTATCGCTCCCAGCTGAGGTCTCCATTCCCTCCTTCGGAGGTCGTAGTGTCGACGTTGCCCTTCGGTTGCTTGCTGCATATTTTCCTTGGCTGCTTGGATGACTGCGTTGCGGTGCTGTGCCTGATCTTCGGGTCCTCTCGTCTCGCTTCCTATTCCCGGCGTGACTTCGTCGTAGAGATTTCCTGGCAGATG